TAAATATAAACAATATGGATAACAAACTGAAGCACTCATAAATTATAGAATGCTGTTTATTCTGCTTAATTTGTAAAATAAGTGATTAGGTTATTCTGTAACAATTGCCAGTTTTACTCTAGCATATATATAATAAATTAGGCTGTGAAAATATATTTCCACATAATTACTTTTTCTTATATGTAGAGCTTTTGGTTCTTTTTAACCAGGGTTTTGACTTTCAGTCTATGCTAGGTCATAAAAGCACACAGACTAGACCAGACCAGACTATAATTTCAGTTGGAAGGACCTACAGCGATCATCTAGTCCAACTGCTTGACCAATTCAGTGCTGACCAAAAGTTAAACCATGTTTCTAAGGGCACTGTCCAAATGCCTCTTAAATACTGACACGCTTGGAGCATCAACCACCTTGCTAGGAAGACTGTTTGATCCACATTGTCCAGAACACAGTGAAAGCATAGTGCTTACATACAAAAATACATAGAAGACTTCTACCAAATTTACAGCACAAATTCTTCACTTTCCAAATTAGGGGATGCCAGAATTTGTCTGTGTGATTTTATTTTTTTTTAATTTTTTTTTTTGAGGTGTTTCTGATTCCCACGTTTTAATATGTATATATAGCTTCTAGTATCATGGTCACGCACTTCCTTTTCCTTCAGATGCCCAGATCATCAGTGCCTAGAATACATAACAAAAGGAATCAATATTCCTTTTCATCTCTTTTATTCAGTATTAATCCCAAACACCACTGATCTTTTGGGAATCAAGAACAATAGTTTAATGTAAAGTTTGGAGGAAAGATTTAATTATAAAGCCTTGTAACTGTTTTATTTCCTCTCCAGTTACTCTCCCCTTTTCTTTCAGCTCCTGCCTCAGATCAGTATCACCTCCTCTCAGGTCCTCTGTTCCACTCCGAGGGACATGTCAGCTTCTGTGTTACCAAAAGAGTGACAGCACAAGTCTCCAAACACCAAAACAAAACCACAGCTAAGAGAGACACTCTCTTCAAGACAGCTCCCTCAACCAGCTTGACTTTCAGCTGCCAAAGCAATGTGAACACAGGGAAAGGGGTGGAAACACACAGCTGAGAATGGTGCCAGAACAGAACCTGGACAACCTAGGGTGAGACAGGCTTACTGTGCTCTTGAATCACACTGTGAGTGACACAGGAACTTGCCTTTCCATGACATGGGGCTGTGCCAGTAACTCATGCATAAAGGGAACAGAAACACACTCTTATGCTGGGCTAGTAGTTTCCATCCACATACACACAAAAAATTTCAATCTTGCTAAAATCTCTCTTTGTCCTTAACATTGACAATGTCTAGGACAACAGAATGGAGGAAACACAAAACAATTTATTATAACTTGAAAATAAGTTTCTAGAGGTTTTTTGTTTGTTTTTCCTTAAACAAGGCTTAAAGGTGTTATAAAGTTCTTGTGTGTCCATTAGCCTGCACTGTTGCCCTCACTGGAGAATTCCCTGGCTATACACAAGCTCAGAGACCAGCACAGAGCAGCCCAGGCTGAGCACAGAGAAGCATAGGATGAGTCTACAAGGTCCTTTGTAGGAGTAAGTACTTTTACCTGTTCTCCAAAGCTTAAGAACTACATATTATCTTTTTCAAATTATTTTAATAGTTAATACTGTTCCCATTTCGTACGATGCAGCTCTCTTAATCCTCTATGACATTATAGCTGCACAAGCATCCACAGCAGAAGTCTACTAAAAAAATTCCTGTTCTAACTCCTATCAGCTGAAAAGCACACAGTCCACTATGCACTGAGCATGAGCAGTACAGAAATGGACATATACAGACTTCAGGAACACAGAACAGACTGTCATTAAATATATGTGTGTGTGTGTGAATGTATATAAATACGTGAATAGTTGCACAACCCACACATCACTAAATTCTGCAGAACAGCATAGAATAACATCCAGGTATAGAGATGATGAACAGGTGCTGCACTTATTTTTCAGTCAGTGGAGCTGTGGGAGGCAGGAATTAAAGGTGTGAATTCAAAACAGGAAGAATAAAGGGAAAGACAAATTCCAGCTGGGGACATCACAGCACTGCTCTGCTGACCCAAGCAGAAAAGGGAACAAGTTGTAAATTACTGGAAAAAAAGGTTTAGTAAAAAGAAGCTATGCTATATAGGCATTAGTAGTCTTTCCACACCACACAGAGCTTAAAGTGTGAATATACGTAAGATTTAAATATAGAAACCCATGCAACAGGTTATAAAAAATCATTTACGTATAGTTATTTACAAAAACCATACACATGATTAGATAAAGAGCTGTACAAATACATGTATCACTAAGCAGGATACTCTCAATTCTCATATTAACATTTGCATATTTATATATCATACTTCCAAATGTTTAAAGATTTTTTTTTCTCTGCTTCTTTAAAACTCATGAAAGTTCTTGCTGTGATGAAATTCACTTTTAAAACTGCAGGGACTGCTGCGTGTTTAAATGAGCCATTATTTGCTAGCTCATAATCATCTTTTCTATGTCTGCTAGAATCACTGATGCATTAATTGCTTATCAAAATTTGAAACAGTTCATGAGTCACTCTGAAGATAAAATAAATAAATATTAATGAGTCAATTTCAACAGAATTCATGTCCTCTGCCTCTTAAAGCTGAAAGACTCCATTTATTACATGTCAGAATTAGGTCTCGATACCTGATGTATGGGCAAATATACTCAAAGCCATACTCAGCACATCAGAACTGAGATCACCATGTTTCAAGGGATCAATCCATCATAGTCTTGTTTGACCAAATTATAGATCAAAGAGAGAAAGGCCTGGTCAATTGTAACATAGAGAGTAAGTGAAAGATCTCTAAATGCACAGTTCTCATACAGACTGAATGAAAAATGAAGTATTTTGGTTTTAAAGTTTGGAAGTGATTCTATATGAGAAGATCTTAACAAGTAAACACTTGATCTTCAAACAAACACATTGACACAAAATATCACTGCATAAGAAAATCTGGTATTTCTTGCATGACATGAAAGAGGGGAGAGGGAAGGCATAGAGTTTTCAAGAATCCTAAAATAAAGCATAAAACCTTTCATTTTGAAAACATGAGTGTGCTGAGAGGCTTCCAAGTCTGTGCCAATGCCAGTTCACTGCTCAAAATCCAAGCTTAAAACTTTTCAAGCTAAATGACCAAAAATGAAACAGGAAACAGAAGTCTTTCCCTTGAGCCTTTACTTTTCCATTCTAGTTTTTTCCTGGAAGTTGTAGGTAAAAGAAATCACCCAAAAAATCTGAGGAGGAATGGGGATTATCTCTAAAAGGCAACTGAAGCTCTGAAACATATTAGGAATTAGACATCAGTGAGCCACTTCTGAGCCAAACTGTTAAAAAATTTCTAAAAAAAAATCACAGTTTTTCTTAAGGAAGTTAATCAGAAGAAGATTCTGGATAATGTAGCTGGCTGGTATAAAGCAGATAAAATGGGAAATTCATAGAATTGTGCAATTTTCCTGTTGCTCACTGAATACAAGCAGGATGAAGAAACCATTTTAACAGATTGTTGGTCTGAAGTGAAGAATCTTCTGTTTGTTAAATTAAGTCCAGTTGTTTATTGTCAGATCTTCATATCAGCTGCTTAGCAGAAGATACTGCTTCAAGCCCAGCTAGTCACATAAAGAGGCAGTAGAAGTATTACTGCCCCACAGTGCCACAGCACAGGGACACAGAGACACCCTGTTAAGACCTGTGTATACTGTAAAACTAAAGGCATCTACCCAGACCAAGATATCCAATCCAGCATTAAACACAGAATATGTCACTGTCAGTGAAGCCTGTATGTAAGGATACAGAGAAAAATACAATTACAAAATGTATTTTGGTTCAATATAATGTACGAAGAATTTAAACTTTGCTACTTATGTAACATTCTTAAATTTTCAGATACACTAGCTTTCTTTATAATGTGTAACTAAATAATGTGTATCTTTCTCTAACCATATCTTACAAGTTCTTCATGCACTCACAGCTAACACAGCTCTCACACAACTTGCTTTTTCTCTTAAGTATATTTAAGGAAGGATTTAGTTCATGTTAAAAATGAACTGTGACACTTTCTTTGAAACCTACAAAATTATGCAAATAATAAATGCAAAGTCATAGGTTCTTTAAGACAGGCTACTGGCCTCTAAAAGAAGCATTGTTTAAATATATCATTATGTGCATGTAAGATAACAGTGAAGTGATTAAACAATTTTCTTATGCTCATGAAAAACGTTTTTTTGTACTCTTAAAAATTATTCTCATATGTCATAGGATGTCACAGAAAACGTTTCCCATCTGCAAACAAATACTGCTGAGATTTAACATTCTCATTTACACAAATGTCAGGGTATTATTACGGTTTCATAGAATATTTGTGGGATCAGTTTTTCACCAGATAATTCACCTTCCTTTCATTAATATTTTAATTAATATTAAATTTCATTAATATTTTAAGCTTTCAAACTTAATGACACATTCCATTGTTCACTGTTGTTCAGCAGAACTTAACAGACAGTTGTAAAGTTAAAATTAAGCTACTCAGTGCATCTACTGAAAATGTTAACTTCTAAATAAAAAGGGTAAAGAAAAGAAGTTTCCATTGGGTTATGCAACAATAATTTTTACTCAGCAAAATTTTGAAAAATGCTGTGGTTTCATGGGAAGTGGGAAAAGATAAATTCCACACAAGAATTCTTCTCATACGGAATAGCCCTTACTGTAAATGCTGCCAAAACATTGAATCCCCATTTGATGTTAAACTTGTGAACAGAATACAAGAAATTAGCAGGTCATGTGCATGAGTAAAATAAAAACTGGCAATCCTGGAAAAAAGCATTGTCAAATAAACTGAACTCAGATACAAATGTGTTCATCACCATAAAAATGCCCAAACAAGTAATAGTTATGCTAATGAGTGTCATGTTTGCACTAAGTGTGGATAAAACCAGCTACTTACCTGCTCAGATAATTCTGGACCATTGACATGAGCCTGTAAGAGAGCATCATTAACAAGCAAGTGGAAGTTCAGAAGCATGTGCTCAATGTCGTATGTTCCACTCATGGCACTTGAGAGCTCCTCCAGGGACTGAATATATCCCCGCCAATGAAGATCAGCTTCTGCTATGTTAGCTAAGCAGCCTCGGATAATGTTGAGGCAGTATACAGGGCTTACTTAAAGTCAGTCCTTGGCAATGGGGGCAGTACTGCATTCTCAGTAAAGCTCTGCTGCAGCCTTTAGAGAAATGCAGATGATCTGTTGTATTGATCACTTCAATCCCCAAATTCAGAGCCTGCAAGAAAGTCAGGCTGGGTAACAGTGATCTTCCCATTTGTCTTATGGCCTTTTGGGGAATTTTACCAAAGGGTTTGATGTCTCTTCTCGCCATTTGGAGGCACTCCGCATATTCTATTGAAATGTCAGTCAGACCAGGGTTAATCACATGGTTGTAGATGACTGGGAAGAGGGTGACAAAAAATCTGTTGAGAGATTCCTCTGTGCTAATGTCTGTGCCAAATACGAAGAGTCCAACATCTGTGAAAAACCCCTGTACATGTGTAGTAGCCTCAGCAGCCATGTTTTTATATGTTTTGGAGAAAAGTGTGCTTGTGTAATTCTCAGCCAGTCTGATAAGCATTTCAAAGGTTTCTGCAATAAAGTAAGCTTGTTATTTTTAAGGTTTCAAATATAAAAAATTAAAGTAAGAAATTAAAACAATTACATCAGGACATCTTACATCGGCAATGCATTTTTTTTACCTTGCAAGTAATTCTACAACACAATCAATAATCCATATGTTTTCTTGGCAGGACATACTAAACAATCTAAAAACTATAAAAGGAAATTGATTGTAAGATGAGTTATTAAGTTACAAAATACAACAAAGCCCTACTGTATTTTTGTACATATATACATACATTAGTTCTCTCATCTCATGACTCATTCTGCAAATTGCACTAGAAACTTAAATGCTCTCAGTCACTTCAAGTCATTCCTCTTACCATCCTAAAATGGATGGGCAAAAGTAATAGCAATTTAAACAACTGTCCCATTCCATTAAAAATTTTTAAAAGATCAGTTTTGTCTTTTTGTCTTCCAAAGGAAGGAGGTGTACCCAACACACATGAGAACTATGTTCTATGTTTGAATCATACATGCTTTTAAACAACGCTACTGTTTGGTCTGGCAATTGCTATGGTCAAGCAAAGTGCTGGCATGGGCAGAACTGCCTTCTTTGGGCACTGAGATGCACCATCTCTAATCCTGAAGATCTGCACAGCAGGTAAAGTCTGAATGGATAAACTTACATTTCATTTCAAATGTTAGGCAGCAATCCTTAAGTACGCTGAGTAGTTCCTAATAAAAGTATTCTTCCCTGACTTGATCTATGATTTGCAAGTAAGGAAAAAAGCTGGGTTTCTAAACAGAAAAGGGGTGTCTGAATGAAGAATTTTCCAGATCTGCCTGAGAAGCCTGCACTTCAGGGAAAGCAAAGGAGCAATATATAGTTTAAAAAGAAACTTAGACCTCAGAATACGTATTACAAGTATTAACCCACTTTTTCCACTGGATGACTATGACTCAGTAACTTTCTTTTATTCATTCAAACTTTACAAATTTTTTTTTTTCACATTTATCTTTTTAATGGAACTCTATAGAAGTGACTAAAAGCACGAAGTACAGTTAATACTTTCCAAATGGATGTTAAAATAGGCAGAATCAAATAGTGTCAAACTATGCTACACAATTAATGAAGCAATCTGAAGTCTGATGTTAAGTCAGTGACTGAAAGGAACAGTAGAAAGAATAATTTTAATGTAATAACAAAGACTAGCTATCATATCTGTAATATATATTTATGCATAATAAATGCTTTATATTCTAATTAAAAGTTTGTCAGTTCAATGGGTTTAAAATTGCAAACTGTGTAAAGATCATAGGGAAGACATATTAATCTAATCCGCTTATACTTTCTATGCATTCTTTGCTTTCTCCAATGAAAATGAGATATATGCTTCAAAATCAGATTCATTAACTCTATTCCTGTGCTATTAAGTGCTGACTGTCCACAATAGAGTAGAAAAGTGCACCCCATTTGCCTTTTTTTTTTTTTTTTAACATTACTATTGCACATTCATATGTGCGTCTCTCCTAAAGTGAACTTCACTATAAACATTCATACATGCCAGATATCACAGTGATTCAGCATAGGGTTTGATTTCTTTAAAAAGTCATACTCCTGAAGCCAGGACATCACATGGAGCTCCCAGCAGTGGAGACCTATTCCAAAGCCTCTTCTGTTTACCCCATGATTTGACATGTGGAAGTACCAGCTGAGTAACTCTGGAGGCCACCACTGCCTGCATCCACTGTTCATTCACCGGCTCTGTGACATATTTCAACCTCCAGCACTTCATGCCAGACCATACCTGAGACACCTGCATTGCAGCCAATGTTAACATGAGAGACACATGTTCTTCTGGAGCAGCAGATGAGACACAACATATCAGATAGGGCATACTGATCAAGACACCCACTTTAATGCGACTGAAGAGAGGATGAGATCTCCACCAGCTATAAAGGCAGTTTGGACACCTAGCTCACATGGGGACACATGTACGTGGACAGCTAAATTAGAACCCTAAATATTCTACTGTACATTTTGTCTCATTTTTATTGGAGGGAATAAACACTGCAAAGAAAGTACAATCCTACTATGGAGGATTTATTTAGTTGCCTAAGAGTGTTCAATGCAATTTTCAATGGTAGTTGCTATGTGCCTGTCTGGAAGGGTATGGGTTTTCTGCAGGTCCTGTGTCACATCTACAGGCTTTGTGTGGATGTTTTGCATTTAAAATGGAACTAGATGGCTGTGCCTAGTCAGCTGAACTAAATCCTAGATACCCAATTATCACTGACTCAAGAACCCTTCATATAAAAGCTTGGAGCAGACAGAATAACAAAGACAAAAATTTAAGTCAAATAAATTCTTGGTTTAGATGGTTTAAAATAATAAAGTGTGGAGAATATTAAAACCTCCTAGGAAAATGGCTATTTTTGTAACTGTCGATTCAGTCTTTTACACAAAAGTAGGTAATGTTAGTAAAATAAAGATGTTATAATAATTTAGAATGACATGAATAAGGTTTTTATGACCCTTCTCAATTTTTCATTATTACTTTTTCCTAGAGGAAAACAATAAAATATGTGATACAAAATATCAGTTACAATCCGTGGCTTCAGTATCCTATTACCAAGAGCACAAATATTAGATGAAAGAATAAATCATGCCACACAGGGATAATCAATAGATTCTACAACGTGGTCTAAATAATAAGAAACCTTCAAGACTGAACTGTATTACTAGTGCCCCAGCAACCAACAGATGAATGACTTCAATAATCAGCTGCATGACTTTTTGACTATTTGTGCTTTTCTAAATAGCATATGATAATACTGGCCACTTGTGTTTATGATTCTGCATCATGCTGTTTGTCATGTTAGGATTTCTTACAAAATTTGTTAAGTTTATTTTACTGGCATGTTTCCTACTTTATAACTACCAAAGCTATTCCAGCGATTTGTTTTGCTGCCAGACAGCTTGAAGAAGGACAAACAGCAAAGCAGACCTATGTTTATTTTCAGTATTGAACAGCTTCTGTGAACACCTTACAATGGCAGTCTATGCCATTTACAACACTTTCAGAGATTTCAATGAGAAATCAAGTCATGCTGGTTCAATACTGCAAATGCATCATAGATTTAACAATGTGTTTTTCTATTTTTTGAGTCTATGGGCCCAAACTAACATCATTAGTCTTAATTATTCAGCCACATAAGAGAAGTGTGAGTTTTTCATTAGTATAAACCCAATACCTATAAAAGACATTTTAAATATAATCAAGATGAGCCAGACAAGCTCTTTCGATTCTAATTAAATGTCTTTTAATCTGCAGGTTCGGTGCCTCTTGTCTCCATCCTTTATGACATCTTTGTATTAACCACTATACAATATCATACAATATCCTACAGATACCTTCTGTAGCACTACTGTAAATAATGGGTGACATGTCTATTTTATTTTTGCTACACTTACAATTATGATTTGTACAATCCTAAGTCAAAACTCAGGGCTGTCAATATATTAACCCATTAGTTTTTTAGAAAGAACAGTAATATCTTTCTTCCTGGTATTGCTAACAAGGGTCAAAACACAAGGCAAGGAAAAAAATATAGATGAGCACTTTTTTGTTTTATATATTTTGCATCTATTCAGCCGAACCTTCATATCAGTACATATATATATATATATATATATATAGGCTTTTTGATGAGTGCATTTAATAAAGTGGTCACATAGTGAGGTAAAGTAACTATCAATCAGTTCACTTCTTTAAAAGATTTTCAATCTTTCATTCCCCTTCTTTAACCTTTCTGTTCCTTAGAGCCACAGCTAGTTCCAAATTATAAAGACACCACAATGCAGTAACCCATCCAGTGGATTACTGTCTTTAAAAGACCACACAAAAGTATATGAATGCCTTGTTTACTAGAACAACTCACAAAGAGAACATAAAAGAAACCTTGTTTTTTTTCCTAGACATCAATCAGATGTAATGGAAATACTGCACAGAATGAAATAGAATTTGGATTGGATTTTAAACCAGCCCTGCAATTCTAATACTTAACAGTTTTGGCAAAGTGTTTCTCTACTACAGGAACCTTAGAAAATTAATTAAAAAAAAAAATTCTGTGGAATCATGTTGTCACAAAAGCAACTGCATTTTCTTCAAGTTTACCCTTTCTTCACACAGATAAATATTTTATAGAAGCTGCTGAATAAGAAAACGCATGGTCTAATTCTGAGTATTACCTTTTGAAAAACCCGTAATACTTAACACAAAGATAGTCTAATAAATTAAAAATCCAGTAGTGGGCCAACAAAGTGTCATAATTCAGAACTAATTCACCAGGTTACATTACATATCATAAATTAATTCACACTGAGTCAGGGTAACATACAGAACTCAATAAATTATAACTAGACAGCTTAAATTCCATCATAGAATCATAGAATAGTTAGGGTTGGAAAGGACCTTAAGATCATCTAGTTACAACACCCCTGCCGTGGGCACAGACACCTTATGCTAAATCATATCACCCAAGGCCTCGTCCAACCTGATCTTGAACACTGCCAGGGATGGAGCATTCACAACCTCCCTGGGCAACCTATTCCAGTGCCTCACCACCCTAACAGGAAAGAATTTCCTCCTTATAGCCAATCTAAACTTCCCCTGTTTAAGTTTTAACCCATTACCCCTTGTCCTATCACTAGAGTTTCTAATGAAGAGTCCCTCCCCAGCATCCCTATAGGCCCCCTTCAGATACTGGAAGGCTGCTATGAGGTCTCCACGCAGCCTTCTCTTCTCCAGGCTGAACAGCCCCAACTTTCTCAGCCTGTATTCATACAGGAGGTGCTCCAGTCCCCTGATCATCCTCGTGACCCTTCTCTGGACTTGTTCCAACAGTTCCATGTCCTTTTTATGTTGAGGACACCAGAACTGCACACAATACTCCAGGTGAGGTCTCACAAGAGCAGAGTAAAGGGCAGGATCACCTCCTTCAACCTGCTGGTCACGCTCCTTTTG